CCGTCCTAGTCCCAGTTCCAGCAACCCAGCAACCCAATTCATCCCTCCCAAAACGGAAACCAGCACGAACCCAACCATGACTGGACTCCACAGCGCATCGAGCAGCGCCCAGATCAGTGCCAGTCAATGTGCCGATGCAGACGGAGGCAGCCCCGCATGAATGCCAATGGTACTGGCATCGACAACCTGCCAAATGCGCCGGCTGCACTCGGCCAGAATGGGGGAAACGAATTAGAAATGTGTTGAGCAGAAGTTACTCAATTGCCAGTTGGAGGTCCCATTCGCACCAGTAGACCCAGCAACGGCAGCTATGAAAAATGTTTTGTGGCTGTAAGAAGCTGCGAACTGTGAGCTACCAGCTGTTATACTGAGAAAAACACAACGCGTAAAAATACGTATCGAAAGCATTTTGGCAGCTAAGCAGTTTTATTTTGTTAGAGTCAATTTTTTAATTTACTTTTCATTTACATTCGAAATGTGATAGGCTCAGAAATGTAGGTAATGATTGATATTTTATTACCCAGTGCGACACAGTTTGATTAAGTTCAAATCTTCTTCTCTCTTGTTCTTAATGTTGTTACTTTCTTTTTTACAAAACTACGCTTAACAACTTTTGGTCTGATTAAAGTTTAGTTTAATTTAAAATTGTATAACACTCAAAAGATTTTAGATTAAATGCTCGCATTATTTTCTTAGTGTAGCTAGATGTAAAAATCTGTGCGAGACGCAGCCGGAAAGCAGGAATGATTTCCGGCCTGGCTGACGATAATTCTTAGGCCATCATGCAATGGGCGGGTGGGACAGAAAACTTTTTGCAGCCATTGTGCAGAGTGTCAGCGCAATGATTTCGTACACCCAACTCGAGCCGCAAGCCATGCAAATGTTGGGTGTGGCTGAATATGAATGATTTAAACATCTGAGCTAACGTCACACCTTCCCTGCCATCCCGTTTATCGAGTCTGGTGCTTGCATTATATTCACATTTTTTATAATAATTTTTCAACATTTTTGAAACTTTACGCTGCGCGTGGAACTTCAGATTTGAATACACCAAAAACTTTGTAAAAATGTTTGCAAACTTTTTATTTTATCATTTTAGTTCTGTGCAGCGGTTAAGAAATATTATCACTATTGTTATTGATTTCTAAATTGACAGTAACAATATGACTGTCACTTCTCGTATCGAGACGGCATCTAACGACTAATTCATATTATATTCCGTAGCGAAATCTGAATACAAGTTAAATTTTTGATTAATGACTTGCAACACTTTTTTAAATATTTAAAAACAATCAATTTTAATTTGTAAGATTTTCTTAATTGCCATCTTGTCAAAACTGTACAAGCAAACGATACAGCAAATGTCTTAGAAGCTGTTATCATTGTTATTTTTAACTGTTATCTTAATGGAACGATCGATAACTTCAGAGCTACAGATGTTAGCATATGTCTTGGGTAACTTGGCAGTCAGCCACAAGAAGCCTCTTTAGCTCAGTGGCAGAGCACTGGTCTTGTAAACCAGGGGTCGTGAGTTCAATTCTCACAGGAGGCATAGCCATCATCTATTTTGATTTAACACATGAATACATACAGATATTCATATTATATAAAAGAGCATAATTATATTATGCTGTGAGTAATTGACTAGTTAAGGTTGCGCTATGAATTATTCGAAATAAATCAAATACTAAAATTCACTTTATTAAACCCCTACCGAAAGGAAATCTAGTATCTTTTCTTACTTTAAAAAATAATTTCATTAAATAATATTTAGTATCTTATTCCATGAATAACCCTTAGTTCTTTGTCTAAACACAAATAAAATAAATAACAGCTAAGCATTTGTTAAGCTAATCAAAACCACTTCAGTTTTCAGGTTTCCCTCGACAATTTTCTGTGGATTACTGTAACTCAACTCGAAGCAGCTCTTAACATACTTTGGCTGCTGGCTTGTTAGCAAAAAAAAAAAGTTTCATGTGACAAATGATATTTAAATGAGTTGCGTTTGAAAAGTTGCAAGCGCCACGGCAAAAAGTCAAACAAATTGACATGGCCAATGTCTTAGTCCCATCCAAGCAAAAAAAAAAAAGAAAAAGAACCTGAAAACTGACAGGAGTCGCCAAATTAAATATGCCAAAAGGCAAAGTAAATGCGAGAGATTCAAAAAGTTTGCATCCACCCAATTCTAAACTCTTTTTTAAAATTTCGTCGCAGCAACCGCTCGCCCGCCAAAGGGGCTTTTTGTGCAGTGGGCCGGGGTAGGGTATTTGATTTGTTGCTTAAACGGTTAAATGGCCAGCGGGCTGCGCAACGCTTAAATTTCTTAGGCACAGCGATCTGTTTTGGGGTTTGGGATTATTTTCTGAATTTAAATTAAATTCAATTCACAGTTGTGAACAAAAGTTGTTGTGCGTACGCGTGTGTGTGTGTGTGTGTGTGTGTCTAGTATTTTTATTTAAAACTAGTTTCATGTGTGTAAAATGCAAAAGAGTTTAATTTGCAATTTGTCGCCCTCATTCAACGCTTAACTTTTCATTTCTCTCTCGGGCGCCGCCTGCGGTTCCCATATGCAAATGCCTTCGGTTGAGTGCCGGCTGCACCATCCGCATGCCACCACTATCCTCTTGGCCAGCATATGCATTAAAATGCACACAAAGTTTTGCATTGAAGCGCCACTTGTGCCTGGTACGGAGTTGATGCCGCTTCCCGCAGGGCCAAGTGCGCAGTTTGTTAAACGCCTTTCAACGGCGTGGTTAGCCAAGCGCAGACCTTGAAATGCAACATCCAAAGCACCCACGTAGACCAATCCAAAACTCCAAGCCATGGCCAGAAGTAAAAACTAGCAGCCATAAGCTGAATGGCAACCACTTATGCAGCTAACCAAGTGAGCAACTTTACTGTGGTGCAACCATCAACAAAAGTCATTTTGTAGTTACCCCGGACATGTTTATTTAGCAAACAAAATGTTTTAATTGAACAACATTTTAGAATTGCATTTCTTTTTAAAATACATTACTATACCTATTCATACGACAACAGAGCGAATACGCAATATGTACATATGTAATTACTTTATTTGGTCAAACTATACTGTTTGCATGTTTATATTTTGTAGTATAATTTTCAATTCGTTTGTATATTGCAGCATTTAAATGGCTTTAACAAAATATAATAGTAAAAATATATTTTTATTTGTGGAATTATTTTATGAAGTTCGAAATTCACATTCACAATGCGTCAAACGACTTTATATCACAAATAACTGAGCAATTTAACAATTTGAAGTAAGTGATGTAACAGTATGTAAACATAACAAACTGTTTGTGTTTATATATTTATTATTAAAAATAGTTTTGTTAACAAAGTTGCAATTAGTGTAGAAAAGGAATTACATTCGAGTGAATCCCAAAGGATGTTTTCCGGATTACTGTGTACCTCTCGATCAATTATGCTTGTAATTTGATTGCTATTGAAATTTGAAACGAAGTTAAATCGTTTGGCAGCTTCAACAATTTAATTAAAATTTGAACACACAACATATTTTTGCTGGCTGTGTTTAATGAAATTGCCTCGAAATTTGCATTGATTGATGCCATTTTCTGATTTATTGACTAAACAACAGGCGAATGTCCTCGGCTAAATTACATCTCTCTGTATACACACATATATATACACATATATATATACATATATATATATATATATATATGTGACAATGTCAAATGTCATCTAAACACACACTCCAACACAATGACAAAGAACATTTATTTTATTTGGTTTCATTTCGTATTTCTTTGTATGCAGAACCGCAATGATTGATGCGGACATGATATCATCAAATAACTGTGACTCTTGTCAGATCTCGAGGTATGGTCGAGGATGGGAGTGGTGCAGAGGGAACAAGAATTGAATGGGCTACACATGTGCATAAGCTGACATACATTAATGTATCTACGAATATGTTGTGTTGTTTACTTGGTCAAAAACTCAATTTAAATTGTATTTATTTCCATTGTTTTGCGCCAGTCAAGCGCAATTGCCATTTGTGTTTGGAACTTGTCAGGAGCGCATTTATCTGAATTCACAGCTTGAGGCAAACTATTAGTCAAATTATAAGAGCAAAGCATTGAATAACATTTATATATTGTCTCCAAATATTGTCAATATTATTTATATCGATAGATTTTGCTTTATCTATAAATGATTTGTAAGCGTAGTCTGCCAAAATTAAAAAAACATAGCAGTTTTTTTTCATATTAAAAATTAAGCTTTTTCGATTGAAACACACTTCAAATTAAACAGGCAATGATATATTTTGTGGTAATCATATTATTGTTTATGTGTTTCGCACAAGGACATCAAATAACCACTCAACATCGCCGTAAGTAAATCTCATCGGTTGATAATGTATACTAAATTATATAATTTTTTACAGATAAGAACGAAACTAAAATAACCAACAATATATGCCCTGAATGCAGTCAATATCTTGCATTTTGTCGCATTTTGAGGGTTGGCTACGTAGTTCAATTACAGGAGGACTTAAATAAAATTCAAGTGTCCGATTCACAAGAAAATAACAATAATAATTTATTGGCGAAATGTGTACCAAATAATTTTCAAATTAATGGTAATTCATCTTGTTAATTATTTTAATCGTTGTGAAAAGATTTCTATATGCAGATCTTTTGGAGGGTTCCGCCTGTTTCTGGTCGCCAGAATTGGGATGTAATTCACTCATGGGTAGACGCAAGCAGGAAAGTGGCTATACCGACTTGTATTGTCTTGAGTGTTTCTCGCATTGTCCCTGTGCCAAAGCATCGACACCTCATACGAAGGATTTGGGTCTTGCAATTATCTGCTTGGGTTTCATTTTGGTTTCCAGGTTGGTATTGTACGAAGTCAAGGTAAAACATTAAGTTGCTGATATATTATCTTACATAATGGTTTACAATGACATCGTAAAACACCATTTACTTATTAAATAAAATAATTTTGAGTTAACTCTTTATATTTTTTATGTATTTAGTTACTTTAATGTCAAATATTAGTTGCTAAAAAAGTAAATATTTAAATTTGAACAAGAATTTAAGCATCTACTATTTTGTTGGTAGGACAACACTTTTTAAAAGCAAACCGAATTTAAAGTTTATTGTCCTTGGAGTTGAGAAAAGGTCGATCATCGCTGGTCTCCTCGCCATCGTTATTATCAGAGTCGAAGGCATTCTCGGGTATATCATAGAGTCGTATCATCGGCTTGTTGGGATCCTTCATAATCAGATACTTGCCATCGGGCTGCTTTAACATAATATCAACGAGGCAACGCAGAACGCCCCAGGCATTGTCCATATTCAGATTGATTTGTGTGGCAAATTCTTGTGGCTTAAATTGTTGCATGCCGAGAATGACATGGTGCAAATGATCCTTGCCTGTAGAAGGGAATTCGCAACTTAGTTTTGTGCAACAAGCTATAATCAGATAGAAAAAGAAACTAATTTGTTACTTACGATTCAATCGCGAGACATAGCCCAGCTTTAGCTGATCGGAGCCGGCGAGCACCGCCTCGACGGTCCACTTGGCCAGCTTGCAGGCATTGTTGCGCAACTCGGAGGCCAGGACTGCACCACGCTGACTGTCCAGCTTCTGGCGCCACTCGACACTATTGGCGGCCTTCGAGTCCCACTCATTAAGTGCCCTAATCGAAAGAAATTGCAATTCACCGCCGGGAGATCTAAGGACTCCATTGTGCTTGCAACGTGCAACTAAAACCATATCATCGCCCAGTTGCCATTGCTTGTAGCGATAGCCGATGGAGGCAAGCTCCACGCCGGGCTCCTCGAATGGATTCGGTTCGTCAAACTTGTGCTTTGGCTCCAGTTCGCCAATCTTGAGCACTTGTTGGCTAAAGTTGTGATTGATTATGGTGGCCTCGAGCGAGAGGCTCTGCGGCGAATTAATTGATCCTTCCTCCTCCAACGGTGGCTCCAAAGCGGTCTCATTAACCGTCAACATATCAAATTGAGCATTATCGCGCTTATCCAGAAACAGCTTAGTGCCCACCTTGTCAATAACGATGTCCCAGGAGTAATTGGACCGAGTGCAGCACATCAGCGTAGCAATTATATCATCCGTGGCAAAAACATTACCCAAGCTCTTGGACAAACGTCTGATGATGGGATCATCAATAGTGCCCGGCACATTGATTATCCGATCGATCTTCTGCAACGGTCGCTCGTTCTTCACATTGATGCGATCGCATTGTTTGTCGAAGAATTCCAGAGTGCCACAGGTGATCAAATCGGCGCCCTCCTGTATGTTCGGAAGCGTCAGCTTGAGCAGCCTCGGGAAATCAATCTCCTCAATGGACACCCAATCGGAACGAACAACAACCGAGCTCTGGCGTTGGCGCACCGGCGCAGCTCGCATAAAACGTCGTCCAGTTTGACCACGTCGCATATCCCTGCCCTTGCCGTACTTATTGCTGGCCCCAGCACCACCCGCTGCGCCGGCACCTCCATGTCCGGCTCCAATGGCGGCATTGAAGCGACCATTGCGGCCATGCAAGCGCAAGTTGTTACGCTGGGTGGGACGATAGCGATTACGCTGATAGGGTTTGAGAGCGCGCATATTGTTGCCATTGACGAGATGAAAGCTGGCATCGTCGTTCCCATGGAAGTAGGCATATTGGCTGTTACTGCTGCCAAAGGTCGACATATACTTGTTGTTGTTGTACTTCCTCTCCTGCACTGGCGTCGTCCAGTCGCTGATCTTGCCCAATCGATCGCCCTTGCAGAACGGCTGATAGGGCACCTCCAAGTCGGGCAGGTCCGAGGGTCCCCAGCCAAACTCGTTGTATTCGATGTAGGGCTTGACAAAAGGAGCGTACTGTGACATTATGATCACAAAAACTATTTTACAGATAAACAAAAATCGAGTTTAAGATCTGTTCATTTAAAAATACTCGATTTCGAGATAGATTTTTTCTCTACTACTTCTTATGACTTTTCGAGCAGAATACACATATTTAGATATGGTGACGATACAATTGGGAATTTAGATTTGATTTATAAGCAGTGGCAATGTGATACGGAACCGAACACAATTTTGAGTCGTCTTCGAACAGAAACCCGAAATCTCAGCTATTTTCCAAAGTTTTTTTTACATCTTAATTAGTAATTACGCCAATCTGCTTAAGCATAGTATGAAATTAAAATTTCGTATATTTTCTGATTATTTTCAAAAACAAATCAAATAAATTCATAAAGGATAACTATTTTACAAACAGAGTTTCTCGATAATTATTTATGTGGGTATTGTTTTTAGTATTTTGTGATTTTTAGTCGTCTTTACTATATCTCAAAGTAGCATTTTCGATTTAGAAAACTGTCAGACTTAAGGAAATGTCTTGCATCTAGAAATCAATGAAAACTTAACTGACATTGATGGTTGAAGTTTTAACTATCTTTCGTTGGTGCATTAACACAGTTATTTTTGGTTTATCAACTATTTTTGTCGTAATACGCGTTTTATTTTCAACTCTGTGCAATGTCAATGGAAACTTATGGTAAGAGAAATAAAATAAAAATGTCGAATCCATGCTAAATACTCTGTGCTTTCTTCTAGATGACAGTCAGCTGGAAGTGATTGAACTCAAATCCTACAGATCTACCAAATGTAATATACAGATATACAAGGTATAGAACCGCTACACTTTCCATAACTTTTACGTTTACTATTCAACCAACAATCAATATGTGAACCAATTTTAAATTAGCTAAACATAAATATACTAGTTTATAAAGGTGCTTGCAGATTATGTCGAAAACACAAAGGATTAGTCCAATTAGTATATCCTACTGTGCTGTGAGCGGAAAACCCAGTTAAAAATAAACTATGGAAATGTACTAGAAGCCATAGAAAATCAGAACCCTTAACATAATCCCAACGTTGGCCAGAGTCATTGTTCCCCATTTGAGATGAGGAAATGAGCAACTGAAAATGCAACACAATAGGAGAACAACGACTCGTATTCAAGCACATACGAGTATATTCATACGCATGCGAGTACTCAAATGAATGTGTGAGTGAGGGGCGGAGAGGGGAGTGGTGGAAGCATCCTGCATTTTATGCTTGAATGCGGCACGTTTCGGTTTCATAGAATGTTAGCTGCGCTCGTTGTAGGAAAATCTGGCAACAATCTCGTTAAAAGTAAAGGCCAAATTATAGTAAAACTAACAGAAGGTAAAGGTAATCACATAAAAAGCTTGTTACATAACAATCTAAGTGCCAACGAAAACGGAAGCGGAAGCGGATATCAAAAAAGCGTCGAGCGTGTGAATGTCTCTCAAGAGAGAGTGGGCAGGGTCTAGGGACTTATGTGCGAATGGACTTGGGTTTTTTCATCGTGGCTAAAGTGGGGAGAGTGGCTGTGGCTGCCACTCAGCTGGCAGCTAAGCTTTTGTCAGGCCGACAGTGTCATGTTGATGTGTTCATTGTGTGTCAGTAGCAGCTGATGCTTAAAGCAACTCGAACCCTTCCCCCTCCAACAGCCCCGCATGCCTACCTCAGCCCACAGTGAACATACTTAAGCCACATACGCTCGTTTGGATGTGCGTGCAAGTATTTCGGTGGGTGTGTGGTTAAATGATTGAGTGGGTGGCTGGTGGTTGGCTTATCTTGCGCTTCTGTTCGTGTAGATTATAATTGCCATGCGGCTGTCAGTGACTGGCTGCACATCCACTACACCCCCGTTTTCACGCACACAGCAGCGGCTCATGTTGCATATCATTTTTAATGCTAACCACATGCCGCATTATGCAGCTGCATTGCCACTGCGGTCGAGCTGCAGCTACAGATCTTACACAGCCAACGCTAGTAAGCTTTCCCACTTTGCAGAAAAACTGTTGTTGCTTGTCGCTTGTGTTGCTGTTGGCGGTGGTGTTGCTGCTGCTGCTGCTGTTGCTGCTACTGCTGCGGTTTACTAAAAGAATACGACGAAGAATAATGTTCACACATAAGCAAGTACTTATACCGAGCTCAACCATTTAGGAAAAGGTATCATCAACCTTGGACTAACCTGGAATATTCATTCGATATGGTACTTTGAGCAATGGCTTATAAATTATAATTATAAAATCCCAGATTCAAATGTGTGTTCTTTGATTTGGTAAAATTAAAATTCGATTATCGGTTCACAACTATTACGTTCATAATGGTAAGCTGTGATTTACAATTAATAGGAGTCTTTTACAAATATTCCAACTGTTTGAACGATTTCATTAAGTAACCATAATTATTGTATTATATATATTTACATATTTATTTATTTACTTATGGACAAAGAGCAGCTGAAAATGTTTAATATAGTTTTAATAAATAAAAATATACAATTAAATAAGAATTAAAGTTACAAGCTAGATTAATGCCCATGTCTTCTTAAGGAAAATATGAATATGCTTCTTTATGCTGCTTAACTACAGGGTATATGCATAACAGAAGCAGCAGCAGAGTGAAAAAACCGCTTGCATACTTTGCGGCGCTAGCAGGCGATAAGCGACGCTTGTTGCTATTGTTATTTTTGCTGCTGCTTTTGCTGTTGTTGTTGCTGTTGCTCCATTCGGTTGCAGCCGCTGCGGCTGCTTTTGTTGCATACAAATTAATATTTATGCAAGGCAACTTGTGCAAAGCACTGCAAATGCCATTGTTTTCATCCGCTATGCAAATGTATCCCAACTCCTACCACCACTTATCACCCACTGCCTGCTGCATGCTGCCTGCTGCCTGCATACCACTCGTGGCAAGGACGTTCCGGGTGGCCGCAACAACATCCTTAGCTCGTCAAGCGCATCGCAACGCATCGCAGGCTGACAAGACGTACATTTTTATTATGGCACAAAACGTTCAATTCCCTGCCTACCCCTCCACCGCCAAAACTACCACATCGCAGGTGAAAATAAAAGTGCTTATACCACGCCCAACTGGCAATGATTGGGAGACCGCCACTTACCATCCCCGGCCAACTGCAACGTGACTTTTGTAATGGTGCTCAAATTGTACATTATGTATATAAATATGAAAACGCACTACAAGATGCAAATGTAATTAATAGCGTTTTAAATGGACCGACCATTAATATATCATGATTGATATGATTTATGTGGGTAATTAAAACCATAAATGCTTCAACTGCTGGACTAAGTGATGCCCTGTACATAACAAAAAAAATAAATAAGAAGGCTAAAAAAAATTAATATCGAGAATGAATTGAAATCCAATAAATTAAATGAAATAAATAAATTTACAAAGATTTGTCAAAGTATCTAGTAGTAAATTCATATAGATTATATGTAAAATGGATACCTTTAACAAAATACTATCTATCTTGAACATATATACTTATTAATACTAGATATGTATGTGTATATTATATACCGAAGACAGATCTATTTTAGATCACATTCAAAGGTATGTAAAAGTTTTTTATATAAATGTTTTCTCTCTAGTCTTTTGGCAGTATAATTATTGTCATCGAGACTTAATAAATATTATTATTACATTATCATAAATGCATCTACATGTATCCTACTTCGTTGGAAAAGGAAAACTTCATCAATCGGATTTTTGTTCCGGTTTAGGTATTCTTAGACCATTATGAGTACTGATTTAAAAACAAATCAATATACATTTTATACCTCCCATTTATTGATGAAAATATTATTTAAAACATACTTTTAAATTTCGTTAAGGAGCATGTGTCTCTCAAATGCAACTATCGCGAAACTTGGGCAGTTGTTCGACCTGGACGCCAACGACGCGCAGGATCTGCTGCGAGGCGAAGATACCTGTACGGATGCAATAATCTATCGGCATGTGCTGAACAATTTGTGAGAGAAAGCCTCCGACAAAGGCATCGCCACAGCCATTCGTGTCAACAATGTTCTCCTGATCGACTTTGGGCACTGGATACTCGAGTATCTTGTCATTATCCTGGAAGCACAGAACCGGACAGAAGGCATCCGTTATCATTACAATGCGTGGTCGCATATTCGCCTTGGGCAGGCTTTGCAGGCGACGGCCAACTTCAAAGATGTCTGTGGTATTCCAATCGTGAGACTCGGCATAGGCCAACGCCTCCTGCTTATTGCCAATGATCATGTCCGTGTAGGGCAGGATCTCGTCCATATTCTTCTTGTGCGTTTGCAGCACGAAAACGGCACTAAAATTTAGCACAAAAAAGCGATTCGTCTCGCTAGACAGGCGGGCGATGCGCAGAACACTAGCTGAAGAGACGGCCATAAAAAAGCCGGTTGCGTAGAAAAATTTAGCGCGCTCCAAAATGCACGCATTCTCTTCAATGTCCAGCCAGTCCTCAGTGAATAGAGCGGCTGCGCCCAAGTTAGCCACAAGGGAGCGATCCTGTCCCGAAATTATGACCGCACAGGTACCCGTTGGCGCCTCCTCCCTGACCTGGTATTGTGTCTCAACGCCATCGCTGCGTGCACGCTTCCCAATTGTATCCCCAAACTTGTCCCTGCCCACGGCGCCAAAGAAGATAGCCCGAAAGGGTTTGCACAAAATCCATTGATAGATGCGCATAGAGTTTTGGCAGGCACCACCGGCCGAGTACTGCACATTCTCCTGGTTCATTAGCTCGTCGAAGAGCGCCAGGTGCTTATCCTCGGCTATTATTGCTGCATTAGGCTCCAGATCGTATTTCTCCAGCAGCACGGTGTCTTCCACAAAGGTGGTTATGTCCAGTAGCGGATTGCCGAAACCAATCAGTATGCCCTCTGGTACATCCATTCTCTTAGTTCAGATGCTATAACCACGGCAATATAATCGATCAATGAAGTTGACCACTTTCAGAAATGCTGAGGTATGGAATGCGTAATATCTTCTAATGGATATAACGATAAATGTTTTTCACATTTCTTTTATCTTAAGAAAGATAGACTTTTAATTTTTTGGAAACACATGCTCCACACTGTATACAAATGACAAGTAAAGATTTTCAGTAGGGTTCAATTTAAAATAAGAACTTCAAACTTTGCCTAACAAATATGCAAAAGGTATCCATAAAAATAAGTACAAAAATGACTTCATAATTTAAATATAATTTAAAGCTGCAAAATCGTGATGAGCTTAAATTTAAATACACGTAAAAAATAATGAAATATTAAACAACAAATTATTAAATACAATTTGTTTGTGTTCGACTTAACTTTGATTGCGATGCCATTATGCATGTCACATTCAGTCGTTATTAATTGCCGTTGATGATATTAAGCCGACAAATTAAACTCACTCTGCAATTCAACAAATCATTTATAATCACAATAATTATATCGAATTCCAGAAATTTTCGGAAATTACTCTTTTCGCATGCACATATATACATATATATACATTTTTGTGGTTGGACACAAATGAAAACTGAACGCTGATACATGTTGAAGGTGTTTGGGGAAGTGGAGCATGTTTGGTCCACTGAGCCGAGAGAAGCAAACAAAAGTGAAGTAAAAATATGCGTTGCATTCTTTACTCTGCCATGCCACTTGCAACAACCAGCTCCCTTTCCTCTGTTCGCATCGCTGCCTCTCGCGCTTTGTCTTCTCGGTGCTACAGAATCGAAGAGCAGGCTGTTGACTTTGGCCTGCACGTAATATTATGAATCGAAGCTGCAGTTGAAGCTGTGCATCCTGGCCATAAGCACGCGCTTCTTTGCCGTATGTGGGTGGTGGTCAGTGGTTGGGTGGGTGGTTGAGTGTTTTAACTGCTGCCAACTGATTATAACGATGTGTTCAGCGCTTGTGTGACAGCGATTTTTTCTTATTAAATCCTTAAATGTCGCTTCGTTCAACGTACTCTTTGTTTTATTACATTTGCCAGACTGTTTATACATCCTCCACACCAGTAACATACTCTTTGTTTCGCTGCCCCTTGCTTTCCCCACTTTGATTTCGTGCCAGCTCGAGCTCCAGCTATAATTTATGCATTTATCCATTGTGATTTATGTCTGAATGCTGGCTACTCTGCTGTTACCCTGCATCTACAGCGTGGTGTGTGCTCGATGGCTTAGCCATTTCTTGCCGCATAGTTGAGGCATTCTTTGCACTTTGCCCAGCGCACACAATTAGCAGAAATGAGCAGCAACACAATAGAAATGCCACAATCAAACAATTCATCGTCGAGTCACAAGTTCATGTTTTGCTTCATCTCCGTCTCTTTTGCAAATTTGTGCATACTTTTAAGTTATGTTGGACATACACAAGCACACACACACACACACACACACACACACACATACACACGCCTACACAGCTGCAGCTGGCGACTGCAAAAGTTTCTTGTGGCAAACAAATTTAAATAATACTTTAGTTGTAGCAAGTGACTGCAAAACTTTTCAGATTTGTCTTCAAGCTAATATTTCTGTTCAAATCCAACAATTCGCATACGAATTATGTGGACTGAAGATTTGTGAAAGATATATTTTCATTATGGAATACTTTCAAAACTCAAACATATAAAATACTTAAAATTTATGCTTGAAATATTTCTTAAACTCTTACTTTATGTTTTTAAATATAATCCTTACGCTTTGTTTTTAATTCGAGTAATGACCGGACAAAGGATTATGGATTATATTTTTATTATGGATGTTCAATTCCATTCAGTGTACAAATTCCTGGACTGCCTATAGATTCCAATTCTATTGCAAACGATTCTAAATTAGAGCTGGTTGCTTTTTAAATTAAATAATGATCATATTATTAAAATCTTATAGAACTTATTGTATTTAGTCCAAATAAAAATTTTCGCTGAGTTGTTTATAAAATTTCTGAATACATTTTAATAGCATGATGAGCAACTTGTCCTCCGGTAGATCCAAACCAAACTTTTTTCCAGGCCTAATTTCTACCTTTAGGTGGACCTAATTCTATTAAGTACAAAGCAGACATAATATGTAAACACGAAAAGGTGAACAGGCCAAAGGCAGTTCAACCACATAGGCCACAGGCAAATCAACAGAGTCCTTTGACCGTGCGGCCAGTAAAAAAAAGTGCAGAAAAAGCGAGAAAAAAATGGAAAAGAAAATGTGATTGTGGCATCCAAGAACTGGGTTTAAATTGTTAAAAAGTAACCAACACATGGCAAAATATGGGGTAAAAGTAGACATGAAACAAGGCCAACAGACAGACAGCAAAATAGACTTGCAGTTGCACCTGTGCGGTGTCATACAAATTACTCATACGAACTGACGACCAGGCAGCAGCGACTTTGACTTTGACGATGACGATGACGAGGACGGCGACGAGTTTCAAATGATGCTTGTAAGTTTGTTAGAGCAACAGTAACAGCAACAACAACAACAGAAACATAAACCAAATCTGAAGGGGCAATGTTAAAAGTTCTGTGTGTGTTTTTGTAAGAAATGGCAAAAGTTTTCTACTTTGTTAGCAGCGCTGCTGGCTGAGCACCACTCTTACCACACACTGTCCTTTTCGCAAATTGATGTCGCCTGCCATTAACCCAATGCAAGCAGGCAGCTAGTTTCTTATACAGTTGCTCATTCAGTCAATTCCGCAGCAGACCCCGACCAGTTCCCCGCAATGCCGCACACGCTTTTTGTCCTTGGCTTCCGCTTGTTGTTGTTCTTGTTCTTTTTGTTCTTGCTTGTCTGAAGTGCTGATTGTCAGAGACGTTGCCGGGGGCTAGCATTGAATCAGCACTGCCATTTCTGGATTTAGCTCTCGTGTATATATGTGCGTGTGGATTATTTGAAATTATCGAAGATTTCCGGCATAATGGCAAATCGTGTTTCCATTGTTTTTCATTGCTGGAAATTTGTAAGTGACTCGACACTGATGACAGCCACGGATTCCTAATATATATGTATCAGACTTGAATGTCGCGACTTGCGACCCTCAAGCGAATGTGCCACAGGCTGGCTCGTTGACTTGTTGTTGTCACCAACGACACAACAGACGCTATTAAATTGGATCAACTTAATTTGATTGCTATGTTCAAAATGTGATAGACGTACGAGTATATGCTTGAGCACATCATCTTGATTGCTTCAGTTATAACATTGTTTCAATTAGATAACCCATCAAAATCGTATTGCTCTGGTGAAATTAACTTAATTGATTAGTTACTATACAAATAAACACCACTAACTAATTGGTATCTATGTATGAAGATAACATTGATTATTATGTTATAAATGTAAGTGAAATCAGTAAAAAAAAAATACTTAAAGACAATTGAACAATGAATACAAATTTTGAAATAAGAAAGGGATATTTAATTGATTGTCGAAACTCTATTATGGCATATTTATTCTATTGATAACTGAAATATTTACACTTGCAAATTGGATGAAGGCTTTTCTGCGGTTTTTCCTTCAATTAAGAATAATTTACTCAAGAACACTTGCAAGGAGTGTTGGTTTCGTCGCAGGAAAGCAAAAGTTTACCCTAAGCAATGCAGTGAGATATTTTTGCAGCAATATTTTATGTCATGGATATCTTTTTGTCAGTTTCTCATATTCTTTTTCTTGTCTACACCAATAAAAAGCATACAAAACTTGCAGCAATAAAAAAAAAAATAGATGAAAGAAATTCCAACGCTGTGGGGGATTGGGTAAGGGGTTGGTAATTTTTGACAAGTTTTTGCAACTCCATTTTGTTTATATTATGCTGTCAAGGAAGAATGAAAATTCTGTGTCAGCCGATTGACACAAACTACAAAATACAAAATAAAATCATTTTCCTTGAGAATAAATTTATAACGCTTCACTGGCTGCAATAAAAATAAAATAAATTACAAAAAACAAACAAATATAAATGTAAATGTGATAAATATATATAGAGATACGATATTGTCAGATTGTGCTGCAATTGCAAAGAATGGACAGGACTCAAGTGTTACAGATTGCAGATTGCGCATACGCCTCATATTTCACTTTCAAGATTTGCTCCTTTTGGTCGTTTGCTCCTTGCAGCCACTATTGTTGAGCCACTCGACGCTAATGGACTTTAAAGTGTGTTCTCAAGCGTACATTGCCAGTTTTTTTTCATGCAACAGCTCAGCCAGTTGCTAAGTTTAAAGTGCTCAACGCATTGTTGTCGCACATTACGCATACGCCCCACGTTGCAGCAACTGCCAGAAACTCCCCTGACAGTCATAGAAAAACGCAAGCGAATGCAGCTACTAAATAATTTGTGGTGCAAATAATAAACTGCCACAAATTCGAAAAGCAAATACAAACACAAACACTACAACAGTCCTAGTCATCTGGCGCATGTTTTTTTTATTTTTTTTTTCAATTTCCCAAATAGCTTTCATTGCTGCATGCAAGAACCCAAGTGGCCCAATTCTGAGTCTGTGTGTGTAATTAGAAATATCAACAGCACTTAAATTTGATGACGATTAGAAGACCAAAGTTTGTAACTCTGTGGCTTGAGGTCAGCTCACTCGCTTGTTCTCTTCTCTCAGTGCTTTGCTCAATTCTCAAGACAGCCGTTTAGTATTTGTTTTCTGGCTTTTCAGCTTTGGTTTTAGTTACCAACTTGTCTGACCAGTTGCTTAAGTTAAGTGTGCCTTAGCCAGAGCAAACTGTCCCTTCAATAATTGGATGGCTTTCAAGTGAGCAGTGAAATCAAATGTGAGGCTCTTTATTTTCTTTACAGACAAGATTTTAAACACACTTCCATATGCCCTGACAAAGCAAAACATGGGCGTTATAGAATTGTATATTAAATAAGCCAGAACAAAGCTGGCTTAAGCATTTATTAAATGCCAAGAACTTAGTCCTCAGGCAGCAGTTATATGACAGCAATAATTCCTGAACAACCGACAGCCCATTTAAACTCCATCAAGATACAAGTGCCTGTTTCCAGTTTCCCAGCTCGCAGCTCCACAGTCATAAGTATCAAAAACACATTTGCGAGCATTACGTAAATTGTACAAGATGAGAAACTGGAACTGGATGTAATTGGAGAGAAAGAGAGAAGG